TAATAAGGAAGACAACATGTATTTACTATTCGTTAAATGGAAATGTATCACCATAAAGGTCTTCATCCTCATCATCTTCAGATTAGGCTGATGAGGAGGCTAAGGGGCTGGTCTTGCTGTCTCAGGAGTGACAGAGGCAGAAGATGTGGAGGTAGGGGGAGGAGAGGTAGGAGAGGCAGGCACACTTGGTGTAACTTTTATTGAAAAATCCACATATAAATGGGCCCCTGCCATTAAAACATGTATTAAGGGCCAACTATATATGAGAGGGAGAGGAAGGGGAGAGAGATTTATTTTAAGATTGGCTCTCACAATTAGGGAGACTGACAAGTCCTGCAATCCTGTAGTCAGTGCTGCTGGAGACCCAGGAGAACTGATGGTGCAGTTCTGGTCTGAGTATACCATCAGGCTCAAGACCCAGGAAGAGCCCATGCTTTAGTTTGAGACTGAAGGAAGGAAAAACTCTGATAGCATAGCTTGAAGGCACTTGGGCAGAAGGAATTCCCTCTTACTTGACAAAGGGTCAAACTTTTTGTTCTATTCAGGCTTTCAAATGATTGGATGAGGCCCACCCACATGGGGAAGGTGCTCTGCTTTACCCAGTCTACCGATAATAATTGTTGATCTCATTCAGAAACACCCTCATACACATTCTCAGAAAGAATAATGTTTGACTAAATATTTGGGCACCCTGTGGCCCAGTCAAGATGATACATCAAACCACCCATCATGGTAGCCTAAGTCGGAAATGGACCGTATGGTTGGGGAAGCTGAGGTCAGCACCTGCTAGCCCAGCTCCTGCAGGAAAAACCCACAGAAGTAGTACAGAGCTCATGCTAGGCCCTGTCCACCTTCTCACCTTCAGGGCAGAGGCACAGCCCTCCTGCCAGGAGCAGGGTTGTGCCAGGCAGGAGCTGCCCTTCTACTTAGAGCAGAATGTAGACGCTTCCCCAGTGCCTCTCAGCAGGCATGATTTTAACCCCCAGAAGACATTTGGTGATGTCTGGAGACATTTTTAGTTGTCACAACCAGGGTGGCAGTGCTGCTGACCACTCAATACAGTGGGTAGAGGCAAGAGTGCTGCCAATACAGAGGACAGTCTCCACCACAGATTGTCAGGTCCTAAGTGTCACTAGTGCTGAAACTGAGAGACCCTGCCCTACACATTCTTTCCCTCACATCTTTATTCAAGTGGTTCTGTCTGCCTGGCTTGCCCTTCTCCACTCAGCCAGCTTTTAAACCTCTCCACAGCTGAGGTCATGTTACTTTCTTTTCCAGATATGCTGCTACCTTTGTGAATTTAGGCAAGTGATTTGACCTTTCTCAGCTAGAGTTTCCACCTTGTGGGGAAAAAAAAAATCCTTGCCTGCATGGTCAGCCGGTGTGGAGAAGACACACAGTGTTGGCCAAAAAAGACCCAGCTTCATGCTTGGCTCCTAGGAACACCTTCTTCATGGAGGTTACTGTTACTACTCTCTGCATCCACTTTCCCCCGGAAGCCCTGAGGTTTGTTGTGAGTTTTTGGACTACTGTGTGTGTGCAGCAGACTCTGCAGTGGCAGGAAGAAGTGAAAGAAGGTTCTCATGACCCAGGTGCACTGAAAGAACAGAGGCCACATCTTGATGTCTAGGTGGCTTGTACAGTGTACTGTGCTGAGTATGGGCTAGGTGCTGAGCTCTTGGGATGTGCTGGGCCTGTGCTGTGTGGAACACAGAGGGCCTTGCTGGGTTTGAACTGTAATCAGGCAGAGAGTATGCAGCACTCCCCTTGGGACTATGATTCTGTGGCTTCTGCCCCAGGCCTTGGGAAGTCAGATATTTCCTAGTAAATATCAGAAACTTCAACTGACGGCTCCACAACTTTCTGTGTTACAATTTTTTCAACCAATAGAAAAGTTGTAAGACTAGTGCAACAGCCGTGTATATACCCTTTGCCTGGATGCATTTTTGTTTCGTCTCTCTCGTATGTATGCTGTGTGTAGTAGAGACATTGGCATCTTACCCTTAAACCAGGGATCTCGTAAGGACAAGAACAGTCATCTATATAACCACAATATAATGATGACTCTTAGAAAGCTTCACATTGATCAATCCCGTTAGCTAACACACCATTTTTACTGCATTTCCTCTAGTTGTTCCAGTAGCATTTTTTCATAGCTTTTTCATTTGCTCCAGGAACCAACCAAGGATCAATCAAAGCATTTTATGTACTTGTCATGTCTCTTTAACCTAGAACAGTTCTCCTCCTTGTTTTTTGTTACACATGACACTTACAGTTTTTTTTAAGGAATATAGGTCAGTTGTTTTACAGAATGTCCTTCAATTTGGGTCTGAGTGCTGCTTCTGCATGATTAAATTCAGAGTATGCATTTTGGGCAGGAATGGTGCGTTTAGGTTGCTGTGTCCTTATCAAAGCAGCTAGCCCATCAGGGAGCAGCACATGATGTCCAGTTTCCCACTATTGCTGTTCTTATTTCTGATCGCATAAGTTGTCACAGAGGAGAGAATTGTGCAGAGAGATCTATACCCTTTTCCCTCATTCTACATGGACATTTTCCTGTATGGGGAGGCAGCACTGTCTATGGCTTTGAGGGACTGAAGGTGATAGGAGCTTAGCCAGAGCTACTTCCCAGGTCCCCTAACCCCTACCCCTAGCCCTGTGGTTTGGGGAAGGGCATGTTTTTTGCTGCTGGGCCACCTTGAAGACTTTTCAGAGAGCACAGAGGGGATTGCCATTATCCACCATCATAGAAGCAACCCCAATTATATTTGTGACACTTTTAGATTTACAAAGAACCTTCCCATTCATTTCTAGTTGCAAATAATAAAGGCTACACCTTTATTGAGTAGCTACTACTGGGCTCTGTGTTAAAAGCATCACATACATGAGGGTCATCTTAGGTACTACTGTCACCCTCACTGTATGGTTGGGGAAACATAGGCCCAGAAAAGTTAAGCAGCTTGCCTGAAGTTGTACTCAAGCCCTGGCCTCTTTGAGCCTCTGAGTCAAAGTGCTAAGCACCATGCTGCATGGTGCCCTTCAAGTATCACTGCAAAGCAAGGAGCTTAGTTGCATGTGGAAATACCTATTTATAGACAGAGGAAATAAGACCCAGAAAGCTTGTGTGTTCTGACCAAATTTGTGGAGCTGGGACCATCTCCAGGAACTTCTGACTCCCGGCCTACTGCTCTTGCCACCTCATGCTACTGTTTGTGGGACCAAGGCCAAAGATGCCAAGGGTGCTGATGATCTTCTGCCAAGAGGGATGGGCACAGGGAAGGACAATAGCACTGACTGTCCCTGCACTGCACCACACAATACAGCCACACAAGATACTCCACCTTGCCTTGAAGAAAGACAGTGTAAACCACCTTCCTCCCAATCCCTCCTTCCACATCCCCACTCCCATCTGCCAACATGGCTCCCACATCCTGCATCTCCCTGGCCAGGGAGAAAGCCATCCTCCCTTGGCCACCAGTCATCCCTGCTTGTCAAGATACACACATCTTAGGAGGAAGTGGCAAATTCTTCTGGTAACCCCCTGCCTGGCCTGATGGACTCGAGCAGCAGGTTTCTTGAACCCTCCTTTCAGAGGACAAGCCAAGAATTCCTGCCTGTGGATTGTCAGCTAAAATACCAGGTTGGGTATGGGGGGGCCCTGCAATCATCTGGTGGGGGGGGTGCATGAGACAAGAAAAGCCAAAGGGCAGAGGGGGGACATCTGTTACCTGCCCTGCAAAGCCTAGATCACAGTTCACTTCTTCCATGAAGTCCACCTGATCACCCCAGGGCCACCACAGTTCACCTCTTCCATGAAGCCCATCTGATCACCCCAAGCTCTCCTCGACTCTCCAGGAAAGTGCTTTAACTACACGGGCAAACCTAGGGCATCTTTATATGGCTATTTGGGCCTAATACTGAGGTGGGTGCCTGATACACTGGATGCTCAGTACCTGCTTTGATTAGCAGAATAAATCAAAAGGATTCACTCATCCATTCATTCATTGGGGCAAAAAATTAATGATTAATGATCTTGAGCTAGTTTCTCCTCTAAGCACCCTTGCCTGTGACATTCTAATTTAGGGAGACAGAGCACGGATACAGAAACACATCACATAGGCCAGGGAAGTGCTAAGAAAGAGCGAATGGGATGTATGACTTGGAGACTGGGGATAGGAGGGAGAGGGGAGAGAGATCTCTATTCTCTTACCACTCCATCGACACTGCCCCCTCCCCAGCCAAGCCCTCTTCACCCACCAAGACAAACTTTCTGTAGACACTGTTCCTACAATCTTTTATACATTTTTTTTCTTAATGCCATTTTGTTTTGGAATAATTTTAGATTTTCAGAAAAGTGGCAAAGAAAGAACAGAGAGCCTGGTTCACATCTCACTTTCCTGTTAATGTCTCACATAACCATGATTTGTCCCAACTGAGAATCCATCACGGGAGCACCACTGTTAACTAAACAACTCAGCTTCAGACTTTATTTGGATTCCATCGGTTTTTCCATTAACGTCCTCTTTCTGTTCTAGGGGACCCTCTGGGCTACCACATGGCATTGAGTTGTTCCCTGACTCCAGGCTTCTCTGGTCCGTGAGAAGTTTCTCAGACTTTGCTTGTTTTTCGTGTATCCTGTACCAACTCTGTAATCAGAAAAAGACAGATGATGCTGATTTACATCTGGGAACTCCATTCTAGTCTCAGTGACTGAAGCAGTGAGGGGAGCACCTTCTCTGTTTGCCAGAACAAAAGGGGAAAGGCTTAGTGTCACTGTAATCCTGCACCCTGCATTTTCGGTCGCTGCTCCTGCCCCGACGGTCCCCCAGCTCAACGCGGGAGCTCAGACCGGATTGGGCCGCCGGGTGCGAGCCCCGGCCCGCGGGTGGCCTTGCCGGTTGGGCAGCGCGCGGGCGTTGCCGGTCACTGTCCCGTCCGCCCCGCCACGCCCACTGCCTGGGTTCATAAGCCGCCCGCTGGGCAGCTCCGCACCGCAGCCCCGCAGGCGCCCGCAACATGGCCTGGAACACCAACCTACGCTGGCGGCTGCCGCTCGCCTGTCTGCTGCTGGAAGTGGCCATGGTTGTCCTCTTCGGCGTGTTTGTGCGCTACGATATCGACGCTGATGCCCACTGGAGCGCAGAGAAGATTCGCAGGAACATCTCCAGCGACGTGGAGAACGAATTCTACTACCGCTACCCGAGTAAGTCGCCCCTGGCTGAGTGCCCCGCCTGGCTGGGGCGGGGCCGGGAGTGGGAGGGTGGCTCAGGAGGGATCTGTCCCAAAGCCCAGGCCCCCAGCCCGGAGCTCGTCACCTCTGCGGATCCCTTCGGGCACTGGTCAATTGTGCACAGAATCCTTTTCCCTGTGAAAACTAAGCAGAGAAAACTCACGGGGCAAGTTTTCTATGTGACCACCTCCCAGCCTCCTCAGAGAGTCCTGCCTGGTTTCCTGGAAAGACACAAAATCCTACCTCTCAGCAACCCATGGGTGACCTTGCTCACGTGTCCAGCTGCACCCACATTCCCAAGAAGGGGGTGGGTCCAATGTCAAGGGCCACAGGGATGGCTCAATGGCCTGCCAGCCCTGCTGCAGGCAGAGACATGGGGGACCCATCCTCTTTTGGCTTGGAGAGGGAGAAAAAGCACCTCTGAGTATTCTGGTATCCATGGTGCTGTGGTTAGGAACATGACCCTGAAATTGGGAACCTTCCTTCTATCATGACTCTCCCATTAACTAGGTGGACAGCATTAAGCAAATGTCAACTTTGCTAAACCTCAAATTTCCTCATCTGTTGAATGGGGGTAGTAATGGGATTTATCTCAGAGGGGTAAGGTGAGGCTGTCATGAGACATCACTGTGTAACACTCTGGCACAGTGCTGGGCCTCACTTCACAATACAGCACTTGCTGCAAGAGCACTAGACGTGGATGCCTAGGATGTGAGTGCTGGGATAAGTGGCCCAAAGTCACTCCAGGTGTCCCAACCTCAGGACTCCCAGCCTAGGACTCTTTCCATGTCCTTGTACTCTCCGATTTTCTACCCCATCCACCAGTAACCAGTGATGATTCTCCTGTTGGCCTCACGTAGTCAGGGATCATTAGTTTTGGAAGAAACCATGAAGTTAATCTCCAACTGCCATGTACATTGGCTGGTGTTCCCTGCATGGCTTGTATGATCCCAGCAGCAGGGATTCTCTTCCTCCAGAAATAATATTTTACTTAGGTCCAAGGAAATCACTGCACACATTCAGAATGGCAGCCTACAGGAAAAATGTCTGAGTTTGGGGGGCTGCAGCCTCAGTGGGAGCCGGCTATACTAAGTAGCAGCCAAAAAGATAGGGTTATCACAGGCTACATGAATAGTGACATGGTGCCAGCCACCTAGAAGAAGGGAGGTGACAGAAGAGGGATGTGCCCTGTGCTGGTGAGACCACAGGCTCTCCTGGGCTCCACTCAGGTCACTTTTTTTCTTTTTTTTTTTTTTAGGCCACATTTTAAAAAAGATTTTGACAAGTCGGGTGCAATGGCTCATACCTGTAATCCTAGCACTCTGGGAGGCTGAGGCAGGTGGATTGCTTGAGCTCAGGAATTTGAGACCAGCCTAAGCAAGAGTGAGACCAGGTTTCTACTAAAAATAGAAAAACTAGCAGGGCATAATGGTAGGTTCCTACAGTCCTAGCTACTCAGAAGGGTAAAGCAAGAGGATCACTTGGGCCCAAGAGACTGAGGTTGCTGTGAGCTTCCATACCATTGCACTCTACCCAGGTGCAATTTTTTTTTTTTTGACAGTTGTGGCCTTGAGGTTGAGGCTCCCAAATCCACTCCAAACTGCCCACTTTTCCACTCTTTGGTGGAGATCTGCCAGCCAATAGTGAGGCAGGCAGGCTCAAGACCCTCCTTTGCCTATTTCACTCCATCATACCAGCTCTTACTTATCATTTGGTCCCAGACCCAGACCCCAAGTAAAGCATAAAGGGCAAGGCCCCCCAGGACATTCATAGGTCTGGGCAGTGTAGGACATCAAGACCCTATACTAGGAGCTGCAGAACCTTACCAGTGGGAGATACAGCCCTGATGTCTCCCCAGCTCCTATCCCCTCCCTCCACACTCACCTACCCACCTTCATGCTCTGCCTCATGTATTCACTTGACAAGCATTTATCTATAGCATGAACATAGATCTATGTGAAGATACCAAGTGGAAACACTGATGGGAGTGAAGGGCGAAGCTAGTAGTAATTTTCTAGGACCGAAGGATAAACCATGACTGTCTCAGCAAACCAGGGCTCTGGACAAATGAGTCCAGAGCAGACAGTTGCCTTAATGGGGTCAAATGCTCTGGGCAGAAGAGATCTGTGCTGGCTTCCTGGGAAGTGGTGGGTGATGAGGAGGGAAGAAGCTGAGCAGCAGGGGCCCACGGAAAGGGGGTGCTGAGATGTGGGGTGAGTGGCTCAATGTGGTCCATGAGTAGGGTTTGTGAAAGGGATTAGGGGGAGTGCTAAGTAGGGAGAGATCACCAGCCACCAGCCATCAGAGAAGGCCTTGAGTTTCTCCTGCTGTTTCTCCTGTGAGCATTAGGAAGCTCTTGGCCATTGGAGCAGGAAGTACCAAAGGAAAAGGGTGTAGGGACAGAAACATGGCCTCAGTGTTCCTTGGAGAGGGCAGGAAGTAGTGGCAGCCCCTCTAACCAAACATGCATTTTCTTCTTTAATTATCACCACCACTCTGTGAGGTAAGCACTGTTATGACCCCATTTTATAGAGGAGGAAACTAAGGCCAGAGAGAAGTATCTTGCAAAGGTCACTCTGCTAGGAAACCAGGGAGCCCGGGTGAGGTGGCGGCCATGTGGGTCTGAGTCTACACTCCTGGACTACTCCCCTCTCTATTCTCTTCTTCCCCTTTCCCTTGCCAACTCACCATGGCTGTGGTTAGGAGTTAGAGGGCATGAGGCATCCTGGCCCATGTGGGTCTTGAAGACTCTGTTTCTGGATGGGGCTTGATGTGAGGGCAGACCCTTGCTTGGTACCCTCCTGGTTCTTGGACTCAGGCCATCAGCACTTGTGGGGGCCTCATTTCTACCTGTGGGATTAGCAGGCCAGGTGTGCTGGCTCATGCTTATGATCCTAGCACTTTGGGAGGTTGAGGTGGGAGGGCCTCATTTCTACATGTGGGATTAGGTGTGCCTGCTGGGCATCTCAAGTTCCCAGAGGAGTCCAGCTCCAGCTAGAGCAGGCTGGGCCTGGGCCCCTAGGCAGGCAGCAGGCACAGAGCCAGCTGGGGACCCACCCTAGCAATGCCCTCAGAGGCCTGTGCTGTAGGCAGTGGCTGGTGCTGCTGAACATGAAGCTTCCTCACAGACCAGTCCTCCAGGGCGTGAGTGGCTGCAGGGAGATCAGCCCAAAGAGGAGACTCCATGTCCTGGGCTTCAGAAATTTCCTGGGAAAACCAAGGAAGGAATAGGACACATATCAGGAGATGACTCAGGGCAGAGAATACTCTGGTTTCAGGCACTTGAAGGATATTCCTGAGGCCTGAGCAGCCAGGTTTGCCAGTGCTCCTAGGGACCCACACCTCAGATTCAGTTCCACTTGATGAAGGACAAGCTTCTCCACAAGCAGAGGGCAGGGTAATTTTGGAATTAAATAGCTCTGGGTCTACCTCCAGATGGAATGGGACAGCTGTCTAATCACTCTGAGCCTCAGTGTGCTCATTCATAAAGGTGGTAATATTATTTAGAAGACTCAAGATGACAGGTGACTGGTAGGGAATGCAACTCATGGCATAAAGGGAAAGGACAGTAATGCCAATATCAAGATTCCGCATTAGGAAGTGAGCGCTCTGTCCATGAAGGTGTGTAAGTGGAGGCTCAGCGTTGTGTGAGATGTGCCTGAGGACTGTCTCCCTGAATACCAGTTTGAACTATTCCAGCATTTAAATGCCTTTGTGCTCTTCCAAATTATAGAGTTTTATTGTTTTGTTTTGTTTTTTGAGTCAGAGTCTTGCTCTGTCTCCCAGGCAAGAGTATAGTGGCGTGATCCTAGTTCACAGCAACCTCAAACTCCTGGGCTCAACTGATCCTCTTGCCTCCTCCTCCTGAGTAACTGGGACTACAGGAGTGCACTACCATGCCTGGCTAGTTTTTCTATTTTTTGAACAGAGAGGGTCTTACTCTTGCTCAGGCTAGTCTTGAACTCCAGGGCTTGAGTGATCCTCCCACCTCAACTTCCCAAAGTGCTAGGATTATAAGCATGAGCCAACACACCTGGCTACAAGGTGCTTTTTACCTGCTCTGATATCTATTTTATGGTGGAGGACATGGAGGTTAGAGTGGAGCCTAGCATTCTTAGCCGGCCAGTGGCACAGAGGAGGTCAGAGCCAAGCCCTCCTACCCCATGGCCCACCTGCTTTCCAGGACATTTCCAGAATGGCCTGGCTGCCCCCACTACAGGCCAAGAGATTTTGTAGAGCTGATGAAGAAGTGGTGGGCCATAGAGCCTGGGGGGAATTAGGGGACTGGCCACTAGGTATTAAAGAAAAACAGTTTAGGCTGGGCTGGCTCTTGGGGAATGAGCACTGCCCTTTCTGTGCTGATGCGGCATAGGGGAAGGCTGCAGTTGCCTACTAGTGTGGGAAACTCTGATTCTGGGGACTTTGCCAGCTTGGTGGGGGGATTCATCTGCATAGGGAGGAGGGAGCTCCCATGGAGGTAGAGAAGAGGAAAGGGAGGACAGCCCTGCTGGCAGCTCTCATTGCTGGAAATCAGTGCACCAGCTTCCCACCATCAGATACCTCCAGGTTCTGGGCAGCTTGAGTCACCAGGGTGGGTTAGAGCTGAGGGCCAACTTCCACTGACCCTCAGCAAGTTGCCAACCCAATGCAATGCACCTGATCAGTCTTGAAAGAGAAAAAGAGAAGTAATAGCTAATATAATTGAGTAATTGTTAAAGAGCCAGGCCTCTGCCCAGGACTATGATTGGGTTATCTCATTAAATGTGGGCCACAAGCCTCTGGGGTGAGTGCCTTCCCTCACTGTTACTGTCTCCCATTTTACCAATAAAGAAACTGCATTAAAGAGGTTATGTAGTTCATGCAGTTTGGACCCTCATATCATTACTATTAAAATCATCTTAGGTAGCACCAACCTTTATAAAACAGAAATGAACAAACTGATACCTTTTGGTGCTAAATTAGAACCAGTTTGA